GAAGAGGAAATAGAAGGGCGGGCAGCAACCTTGGGATCTCCAAGAAGGGAAATCAGCCCAAGGACATTGAAGATGTGGCAAACCGTTCTATTCCATGGAATGAAATTCGAATCATCCGGTTCCAAAGTAGGAAAGGTGTGCCGACCGAGAGGTGTCTCAACTTGAGCCATCAATTGTGCGACTCACTAAGCTAGAAGCCTAGCTCTGATAGCATGTAGAAAATGGATCAGTGAACTTAGGGCACAATAGGAAGAAGAAAATATTATTAGTAGGAAGATGGTACATGTCTTAGAGACTAGAGCGAGGTCCTTATACAAGGATGAGTTCTAGTGAAGTAGAAAGGCACATGTATGTGGCTGAACTCTTGAGGCTAGCTGCAGCACCTCAAAGTTGAGGAAGGCTAGCCAACCTTGCCAAGCTAGCAATTGAGGCCTCATGTTGCACATGTGGGCCATGCTGGAACAACAGCCCACATGGCAGCATATGGCACACCATAGAGCCCAGCAAGATGAGCATAGGATGAGTGGACAAGTGGCAATGCCAACTGTGACCACACTTCACTATGGGTGAGTATGGAGGAGTATGGACATGTCATGGTGAGCATAATGAGAATGGAAAGTGTAGCTGCTGAGAGTTGAACCCATGACCTCTAAGACCAAAGCTGAGAAGCAACCCACTGGAACATACTTGCTACACAACAAATTCCATTACCCAGCAGGAGCAGCACCTGTAGGTCTCCACTGCCATGGCAATATACCCAACCCAGAGAGTGGTACTATTCTTTCGCCCTTGCCGCCACCCGAGCTGCCCACCCCACACCCCGACTGGCTGACCCGTCCTGTGTGGAGATGGGGTTAGTCATTGTTACATGAGCCACACGGCTCCCGCCTCTGGGAGGCGGATAGCGAGGTCTACCTTGAGGCCTTCCACAAGTGCTTATACTGTCGTTTCTTTTTGTACCGCGAAGCCTCGTTCTACCGCAATCCGCTCACTCACACTCGTCCCTTGGTGCGTGGTGAGTGCCCGTGCGACCCTTCCCCGTTCCGCACCGAAGTAGGTGATTTGGTAGGCGCGGGTCCAGTATCTCCATTTTGTCGTTGCTGTTGCAAACGCACGGAACGAGCTGCGGCATGCCAAGGCGGAAGGCAGCCGACGAGGTGAAGTGGTGGGCAGGGATGCGAAGGGGTTTGGTGATGGGCAGGGACATCAGCTAGTCCGCTGCTACATGCCCTATGAGGGACTAGAGCTGTTGTGTGTGGCCGAGCATACGGTTCAGGGCCATCCCCCTGCTCTCCTGCAGCTGCACAGCGGCCCTGGCAGCGTGGACGTGGAAGGAGATCGCGTGTTGTAATTTTGTTAGTTCCCCCCCCTCCCGCACTTCTTGGAGGATCCCAATCACCTCTGAGGGCAGCGCTTCTTCTGCCACCGCCAGCCGTAGTGGGAGTGGGGAGCGGCTCGTGTCGTCCGCGGAGAAGAGAGGTACCAGCTTGGTACTTGGGGGTGAGAAGGGGTGGATGACACGAAGAGGAGGTGGGTGGTGGCTGCTGTTGAGGCGAGGTAGCTCGCAAACAGCTCCGTAGCAGGTTTGGTAATGCCGAGTCCACCAAGGGTAGAGGGGAGGGAGGCTTGGCGCAGGTCCTTAGCTGCTCGGCGCGGTGGCAAGGCAGGGGGATGGCGGCAAAGGCAAGGAAAGTGTGGAAATTACCTACCCCCTAGGACCCCCAGTCGGCGAAGGGTAGGGAATCAGGTGGGGTGGTGCGGAGGAGGTAGGAGATGCGGCGGCCGATGCATCTCGTGAGAAGGAGCGGGCACAGCTGTGGCTCCAGCTGGGAGAGGAGTGGTGCCGTCGCCACGACCTCTGCCATTTTGGTGTGCTGGAAGGTGGCGCAGTCCACCGGCGGCCCCATTGGGCTGCCCAGGACCTTGAGGCCAGTGGACGGCCAGGGCACGCCTGAGGGCAGATGCTAGAGCTGGGGTGTGTTGGGGGACCATGCCGCACACTTGGCGGCGTTGTGGCGGAGGCCGAGTGGAGCGAGGGCCACCCTTTGCCGACTGGGTAGGGAGCCGGGTCGAGCTCCGCCTGTGGGAACTCCGTACTGGATGGGGGCGAAGTGGCGGCGAGCGAACGGTGCGGCAATGAGGAGGGCAGCCTTAGCGATTACGCGATGAATCACCTCGCCTACCGCGATGGGTCGGGTTCTGCCCTCGGGTTTGGAGAAGGCGAATAACCTGGAGGCGGTGAGTAGCCTCGCTGCCTCCTTGGATAGAATGCTTGCGAGGGCCGTGTTGACCAGGGCCAGCAGGTGTTGTGCTACGTCTGGGTGGCGGATAGCTGCGTCATGCTGCTAGGACCTGCTCGCACTCCGTTCTTACATGCCGCGAGGATTTGGCGCAGGTCCCTTAGCGTTATTGCTGGCGCGTTGGGGATGGAGTGGTGGTCGAGCCATTGAGGGGGGTCTTTTGTGCTCAGAGGGTGGCGTAGGCGTGAAGCCTCGAAATTTTCAAGTGAGTTTGGGCTCACTCGTGTGCTTTCCAGTGCCTGAAGAGCATGGCCAACCTTCCCTTCTTTGCCAATCCCGTCGCTCTCGCCAACTTCCCAGCTTCGTCAAGTGCGTGTTTGGGTGCTGGTGGGAGGTTGATCGCGTTGCAAGCAGCTGAGTATAGTTCGCCCCACCTCCTCTGGCGAAAGGGCAGCAGACGTGCAGAGTTTACAGGTTTACAAGTTGAGCTTGCCCGGAGTGTCAGGTGTGGGAGGAAGAGGAGGAGGGTCCTGGCTTGGAGGGAGCCAGGTTCTCGGGCCAATCGCAGCAGGTGTGTCAGGAGACAGGCGGCGAAAGTGTCTCGGATGATTCTTGGGAAGTGACGGGCGAGGGGGGGTTGGCGAGAGTCACGTAGGGTCCCAATGTCCCACCTGGCAATTTCTGCAAATTTTGCGGAATCCTCAGCCAATTGCTTATATGAGAAAAGGGGGGTTGGGGTCCTCTCAGGTGGGGCTACAATCCCTTCCCCTCCCCCCTCCTCTCGTCCCCACCTCTGTCGTATCACCCCAGACAGAAGAAGGAAGAACCAAAGGGCCCATTCCACTTATCCCTCACTTTCTCACACCCCCCCCACCCCCCTTTCTCCCTATCACCGTGTCATGCAAAGCAGATGGAGCGGGTGTGGAAAACACAAACGCTTTTTAGATGTGCATATTGTAAATGTCTTCTTTACACGTCTTTGAACTTCCAATTCCTCTAACCTCCCACCCTCCACGCAGCACCCTGCTCTCCCCACTTCTCTATCCTGCCAAGCAGAAGGGAGAAGTGGAACAGCAAAGAGCAAAAGCTTTAGCAGGGCAGCAGGGCCGCGTCGATAAGATGGGAGAGCGACACGACATTTGACATGGGCATCCACTCAACCCCTCTCAACCCCACTCATCCCTTAGGTTCGATTACTCAAACAGGAGTTGTGGCGATTTTTTACAAGCTTGTGCACGCTTACACTGATGTGGAGGTCGGCCGGACCAGGAAGTACTTAACCCCACTTAAACCCACACTCAACACCACTTGAACCCATACTCAACCACACTCGTCCCCCTCTTCTCCCCCGTGTGTGCTCTTACGCCGATGTTCTCTTAGCCGCATCGACAAGATGTGGGGATGGGACGGTAGATTGGACATTTTCAACCATACAGTGTGGTTCAATAAACCACACTCATCACTCGTCATGTGGGGTTCTAACACGCCTAATTTGGACTGAGGGTGCCAGTGTCGCAATGAAAGAACGAGCATGCCTAAATCATGTGGTGTTACATCTTGTTCAACCATATGCTCTGGCTCAATAATCTATATAAGGCTTTGTCACCTAAATGAGTTTACTGCATACCTAGGTTTGACTGAAACTATTTGCACCACAAACAGTGATGCCAAATCTCAAAACGAGTAGTACAAGAAGCGTGTGTAATATTGTCATGACAGCATGTAAACATAAATAAAAGCCTACACATATAGAGCAAGGGAGGGACCGACCCGACCCTAGCTAGGTGGGGCCAGCATAGGTTGGGCACATTGTCGGGCACAACATTGGGCTCACCGAATTCCTAAGGCAAGACGAGATAGCCTCGAAAGTCGAGGTCTCTGGTTCGGGCTGAGCCTGCCATTCGAAAGCCACAGTTGCCACCATCATTCGGCCCCTCTCCTACCTGCCCCTCTCTCCCATTGCCAGGCAGGACCAGCCTGCTTCACCTTCTTCCTCACAGCACCAGCTGCTTCCCTCATCCGCTCCCTCTTCAGCCCTTGTTTTCCATTCCTTCACGAGCAGCACGTTGCCTCCCAAACCCACTCACTGTGAGGTTAGTTTGGGGAATTCAAGTCAACCCTTATCCATTTCTTCACGAGCAGCACACTGCCTCCCAACCCACTCACTTCGCCGTCTCTACAGCTGTACCGCAACAAGCACCACCATCCGCCCCCCTCCCTTCGCCCCCCTTCGCCCCCCTTAGTAGTAGCCGCCTAACTGCGCTCCCTCTTGAGCCCCTTCATCTTCATGAGCGACATCGACCCCACCTCATGCTACCCCAAGAGCCATCTCCCTCACTCCCCATGAACCACCACCTCACCACCACCCTCGACACACATTCACACCACGCACAACCTGCAAAACACACCACTACAGCGAACAGCTTTCATACGTCTCAAACCTAGACGAATGACTACGCCTGAGCGGCACCAATAGCACCATCTGCCCCCTGTAACCACGTACCCTCGCCCCTTCTCCCTTCTCCCCCTTTGGCCGGGGCGTCCTGCTTGCCCTTCTTCCGTGTAGAAGCTGCCTCCGTGTGCTCCCTCTAGAGCCCCTTCACCTTCATCAGCAGCATCGACCCCACCTCCTGCTCCTCCACTCCATGAGTCACCGCCTCACCACCAACCCGTCACACCCCCACACCACGTGCAACCGGCCAAACGCACGACTACAAATCACAGCTGTCAGACGCCTCAAACCCAGACCTAGACAAACCACTACTCCTGAGCACCGCTAGCACCACCATCTGCCCCCTTGCCCCCCCTCCCTTCTCCCCACTTGACCAGAGTGTCTTGCTTCGCCTTCTCCCTGGTAGCAGTAGCCTCCATGTGCTCCCTCTTGAGTCCCTTCATCTTCATGAGCGACATCGATCCCACCTCCTGCTGCCCCAAGAGCCACCACCAGGAAACCCACTACTCCGAAGCACTGCCAACACCACCATCTTCCCCGCCTACCCCCCTCCTTTCTCCCCCTTTGGTCGGAGCATCCTGCTTGGCCTTCTTCCTGGTAGCAACCACCTCCTTGCGCTCCCTCTTGAGCCCCTTCATCTTCATGAGCAACATCGACCCTACGTCCTGCTTTGGACTAGGAGCAGTAGGACACACCGGAGTCAAGCGTGAAGGAGAAAGACGCATCAACAGTAGTCAAATTTGGGCTAGCAACTACACAAGCACCTACATTAGAAACACCGGCACCTATATCAGAAACATGCAAAGATCCTAAGCTAGGTACACGCAAGCAAACAGATTCAGTAGCATTATAGTCAACAACATACATGGCCGATTGAATATCATCCATGGACATATCAAACAAAAGGTAACCAGAACTCAGTAGAGCAGGCCCTTGCGGGGCGACCGCCAGAGGCTCGAAACGCTCGTAAAAGAGGTCGTCAAGGCGGCTGAAGCAGCATTATGCGGAGCAGTCAAGATGCCTGAAAATAGTGCCAGCACCAGGGCCAGTCAGGATCTGGTACTAGCAGTTTCCCAGCTGGCAGGGCTGCGGCTGACGCTCCCCAGACCACCAGGTCCCCACTGTTGTTGAGGTCCCCATTGCTTGAACTACGGATGTTGCTGCTGCCCTTATTGTTGCACCTGTTGCTGTTGCTATGGCTGCTGCTGCTGTAACTGCTGTTGCTGTTGATGTGTCCCGTCCACACCCTCAGGGCCAGCACCCCCGGCCTTCGTACCAGCAGTGCCAACCCTGCCTCCAGAGCCACCTCCTCCTGACGCACCAGTACCTTCACCACCTCCACTACCTCCACCACCTCCACTACCTCCACCACCTCCACCTCCGCCACCCTTCCGTCCCTTCTTCCCTCCCTTGCCCGTTTCTACCAACCAGTGGCAGTAACAAATGCAGTCTCCTCAGTAGCAAGAGTCAGCAGCAGCAAGAGAAGCAGTGAAGGTGGGAAGATGGGGCACATCGCACCCGTTAAAGAGAGAAGGATCTATCGCTGAGTCTCCAGCAGCAAGAGAAGCTGTGAAGATGGGAAGTTGGGGCACAACATACCCGTCAAAGAGACAAGGATCTATCAATGCAGAAGCAGAAGCAACGAAGCGGAGGTTACCCTCCATCTCATTGAGAGTGGTCTCACTGAGTTCGATGGTAAGCTCAGTGGGGTGCCTTTGGAGAAGCGCGTCGCGTGCAAACGAGAGGCAGTCAAGGAGACAAATGACGATGTAATAGAGGGTGGCAAACATAGACTGGGTAGTGGAATAGGCAGTATGGTAGCTAGTGTCGAATGAGCGCAGGTGAGTGAATAGGTCAGCAGTAGTGGCAAACGCAGCAAGTTCGAGGAAGAAGAATGGCATGAGGAGGCGACCAAATGAGGCAGAGGAAGGGGTGGAATTACGAGAGACAATTAGTGGGCTCAGCAGGCAGCGGGGTGGGACGCGTTGGGGCAGGCGGATCTCCCAACGTGTCAACGTCCTGCGCTGGCTGTGAAAGTAAATCTTGGCATGCGGCAGCTAGGTGCTAAAATATGTTTATCGACCTTATGCGTCAAAACGCAAAACTATGGCGGACTATGGTGCAGGAAACGTGCTAGATACAGCAGGCTAGGAATAGCTGAGTGAGAACGGCTAGCGAGGAACTGCTGGCTAGGAACGGCAGGCTGGAAACGATCGGCTAGGAACGGCAGGCTAGGAACGATAAACTAGGAACGCCTGGCTAGGAACTAACCCTAAACCCCAAAACGCCACCGATAAAAGGTAGTACGGCTTCCAGCCGCTGCTGAGAGTGCCGCTGGCATAGGGAATGGTGCGTTATGGCAGGCACCGGCGAGGAGGGTGACGGCTTGCCGGTTAGCGGGGCGTGCTGCTGGTGGGGCGCGGGCTGGCTGGCGGAGCGCTCTGCTAGCTCGTGTTGAAATCAATGAACATGAATTATTGAACTAACAGTGAAATCAGTACAAGTACCTAACCCTAGAATTGTGTACCCCTTGTAGGCTAACCCACTGTAGCCTAAACAAGCAGAACATATATAATGTTTGACACACCCCCATAAACGAAGTGGGGGAGAACTAGGGGTCACAAGACCAGTCAAGAAAAGCAAGCTCAGGGTGGATCACAAAGTCACCACACATTCCAAGCACAAGTTCAAGGCCACAAGGCCAGTTCACATGCAGGAGTACATATATATATAAGGCTAGACAAGCAAGAGCAGGTATATATATATGTAACAGTACAAGTATGGTCAAGAGGTGAACAAGTGAGGCAAGACAGACACAAGACCCAGCAAGGTGCAGAAGCGCTGATGATCACAAGGCGCAAGTGCCTTGGTGAAGACATCAGCAGTGTTGGCCTCAGAGGCCACGTAAGCAAGCCGCAACTGACCACGCTGCTGTAGCTTACGAGCAAGGAAGTAGCGGAGAGCAATGTGTTTTGTTCTGTGCTCCAGTCTCTGCTCTCGACACAAGGCTAGCATGGCCTTGTTGTCTACGTACAGGACTGGAGGAGAACGAGGCGGCTCTCCAAGGTTGGTCAGCAGGTAGGTGAGCCAGCGAAGCTCCTGAGCAGCCATAGCCCCTGCGTAGATCTCAGCCTCACAACTAGAGCCGAGAACAGAAGACGAGCGAGTAGCCCACCACGAAACAGAGCCCGAACCAAGGCTGAAGGTGTAACCCTGTGACGACCGCTGCGTAGCCTGGTCGTCAGCCCAAGCAGCGTCTGCGTGACCAGTGAAGACCACTGGACTCCGCCCTCCAAGCACTAGCCCCATGCCCGACGTACTGCACAAGTAGCGCAACACCCTCTTCGCTGCAACCATGTGCTCTGGTCGGTGTCTCCCAGGAGCAACATAGCGTGCGAGAATGCTAAGAGGGTATGCAAGGTCAGGTCGTGTGCAGGTCATCAGGTACATGAGGCAGCCAACAAGCTCTGGGTACAGGCCACTCGACTCTACGGAGTCATCCGAAGGCAGAGCTGAGAGCGAGTGGCGAGTAGGCAGAGGAGTGGCCTGAGGCGAGGAGTACGTGAAGCCGAAGCGCTGAAGGACCTGCTGCACCATGTGTGACTGAGTTAGGGTAATGGTGTAGCGTGCTCTGTCCCGGGTGATCTGCAAGCCAAGGTAGCTGCACAGTTCACCCAGGTCTGTGCACGTGTGTCTCTTCTGCAGCTCGGACTTCACGTAGGCGAGTCCAGCAGTGTCAGCTGTGGCAAAGACCAAGTCGTCAACGTACACGAGGATGTAGAACGGCGGCAAAGAAGTGTCGGTGCGTAGAAACAGCGACGGGTCAGCAGTAGAAGGAGCAAACCCAAGAGCCGCAAGCGTAGTCCTCAGTGTGTCGTGCCACTCACGCGGTGCCTGGCGGAGACCGTAGACTGGCCCCCGGAGGCTCCACTGGGTGCCAGGAGGAAAAGTTCCAATGAAGCCAAGTGGGCGATGCAGCCAGATCTCCTCGTGCAGGCTGCCCTGCATGAAAGCAGTGCTGAAGTCAAGAGCGTGTAGCTCGTAGTCTCGGTGAGCAGCTACGTGCAGCAGTACCCGAAGAGTGGTCTGAAAGTAGTCAACTCCCTGCCGCTGACTGAAGCCACGAGCCACGTAACGAGCCTTGAAGACATGCGGAGAACCCGGCGGCCGCTTCACCCTGAAAATCCACATGCCACTGATGATGTTCGCCCCAGGAGGGGAGACAGCGTCAACGTAGGTGCCTGTGGACTTCCAGGAAGCCATCTCTGCATCCATAGCTGCCTGCCACTGAGAAGAGTAGGGACCCTCTATCGCCTCCGCGTAAGAGCGCGGAGTCGGGATGTCAAGTGCATCCGGGTCTCCCTCAGGAGTAAGAAGTACGGACACGAGATGAGGTGAAGCAGCGGCCAAGCAGTGGAACTCCTCTTACCTGTCCTCAAGGACGTCCGTGCCAAGGGCACACTCACCCCCGACGGACGGAGGACAGACAGACTCAGACTCAGCGACAAGACTAGCAGCGTAGTCTAGACGACAATGAGCAGCAAAGTCGACGAGCTCAACAACTAGGGCAGACGCTGCAGTGGACTCAAAGGAAGGGTCGATGACGACAGTAGCAAGGAGACGCGTGACTGTAGGACTGGCAGCACCAAGAGAGTCCGACTTTGGGTCGGCAAGAGCAGGAAGAGAAGAATCAGGAGGAGAAGGGAAAGGGGCACACAGAGAAGCGGTGGACGGACGCAGAGACATCCGGTGCGTGCCAGGGACAGGAGGAGGACGCTGACGCGAACCACGACCACTAGCGCGAGCAGCACGGACAGGCGACGCAGGGCGAGACGCAGGCTCACGACACTCAGCAAGACCTCCAGTAGGACCAGCGTAGGGAGAAGGAGCAGGCAGTGGGGAGGCCGGCAGTAACTTAAACTGTGACGGGACAGGATGTGGACACGCTAAGGGAGGAGGACCAGGAGGAGGCGAGAGACCAAGAACCTGCTGAAGGAGTGGAGCGAAGTACGGCCGAGGCCGCGCGGCGACTCTAGACACAACAGGGACAGCACCAGCACCCCCAGCGACAGCACTACCACCAGCAGCAGCTCCAACGCCCGACTCCACAGCACCAGCACCAGCACCAGCTCCAGGGTCTTTAGCACCAGCAGTGGTGCCAACGCCCGGGTCCTCAGCACCAGCAGCAGCTCCAGCGCCCTGGTCCTCAGCACCAGCAGCAGCTCCCGCGCCTGGGTTCGCAGCACCAGCAGCAGCTCCAACGCCCGGGTCCTCAGTACCAGCAGCAGCTCCAACGCCCGGGTCCTCAGCACCAGCAGCAGCACCAGCGCCCGGGTCCGCAGCACCAGAAGAACCAGCAGAGTCTCTAGCACCAGCAGCAGCGGGGTCCGGGACAGCAGGCGCGCCACTCCGAAGAGTGCAGCGCCGCTCGTACCACTCACGGATCCGCGCACGGGAGGGGAGCTCCCGGCTAGGAGAAGAAGCACTAGCACCAGTCCCAGTAGTACGCCTGGCTCCAGAGGTACCGCTCCTGAGGCTGCAGTACTGTAAGTACCACGCACGCAAGTGCTCACCAGCACCTGGGGTAGCAGCTGCCTCACCAGCACCTGGGGTAGCAGCTGCCTCACCAGCACCTGGGGTAGCATACACGCGAGTACCTGAAGCGGCAGACGCACTAGTCCTAATACCCGGGTCGGGCGGCACACACAGGTACTCAGCACCCTCTCCACTAGTAGACATCACATACATAGCAGTGAGAATAGCATCAAAGTCTAGAGCATAGATATCAATCCCCTTCTTCAGGAGATCAACCCAGCGGGGCAGCTCAGTAGCCTGAGGGAACTGAACACGCCAAGCGTCGTTGAGACGAGCGAAGCAGCGCTGTGTGGCGTGCAGTCCCCCACACGGCTGGCCAGTGCGGTCAGCAGTGCGAATGACGTACGTGCAGGTAAAGCCACCCCCCCCCCCCCCCCCCCCCCCCCGTGCTGAGAGTACCTCTCACGAACCTCCTAGGGCGACGGAGTGTGCTGCTGGCCCTGGCCACTGCCAGCGCCTCCACGACCACCACCGCCGCCGCCACCTCCTCGACCACCCCAACCCCTGCCGCCGCCGCGTCCACCGCCACCCCCACCACCGCCTCCGCCCCTGCCACCTCCCCCGCTGCTGCCGCCACCACCCCCACCGCTGCCACTAGCCCCTCCAGTCGCGCCACCACCCCCACCGCCGCCACCTCCCCCACCACTGCCTCCACCGCTGTCACCGCCACCGCCCTTGCCCCCTTTGCCCTTGCCGCTGCGGCGCCCGCTCGAAGCAGACGCAGTCCCGACCTTCTCAGCACCAAGGAGGTCGACAGCAGCAGCAGAGGCGACAGAGGGAAGAAGGGGGGAAGGAGAACACCCCTCAAAGAACGGGGTACGGGGGTCGCCACGAGAGGCACCTGCAGCGACTATGCTAGCCTCAGCTGCAAGGAGTTCCTTCTCGAGGAGGGAAATGGTGAGCTTAGTGGGGCAGCGAGCTAGAAAGTGGTCCCTGACTGAGCACAGCGTGTTAGGGAGGCGGGTGACTATGTGAGGATCTAGGATCGAGCTCAGAAAAGAGAGTTTGAATTGAATGATCACCTGGGTACAACATGAGGCTATATATAGGCTCGACACAAGGCAGGTAACCCAGGTGTTACGCGAATGTTCTGAGGGTCGCGAAGCGTCCCGAACAGAACCTTCCCGAACTTGGTAGAAAGCAATTCGGTGGCGACCGAATAGCTTGAGTTCGGTGCACGTAACCTGGTTCGGTG